AAAAAAAAAAAACTTCCTCAGCAGTGCACCTAACAGGAAAAAAGAAGTAATTGTTAATTAAATGTCCTGATGATAAATCTTTTATTTTCCTGCTGATGTCATTATCATTTTCAGACCCATATGAGCCTACTACATTATACTGCAACTAAAAATTATTGAACTACTATATAATACTTTCACACGCCAAGTTTCTGGTTATTAACTTTGGGAAGACAGTTATCTGGTAATACACATGTTACTCACCATTCCTGTCCCTTCTCTGCAGAATCTCTCCTGATAACTAGCTTGATGTTCTCATCTCTGCGTTCACCACTCCTACTTCTGTCAGCTTCCCTTCTCCTGAAATGTAATATGGCACAACTGTAGCAGCAGAACAACCAATGTATTATCAGAACTAGAAAAAAATTTTAATTGCTCTGTTCAACACAGACATTTTGTGTAATAAACTTGTCAAAGCTCATGAATTTGTCATGCACTGGAGCAAATACCCTGCATCTTTTTCTGTTTTCTTTTTAAACAATTGAATTTTCGTATAAAAGATTACATATGAGTTACAAAATTACAAACAAACCAGGGTAAAATCTCCAGTGAGCACCTGCAAATTAAATTTAGAATAAATCTGTCATTCATATTTCTTTCTTTAGCCAGCACAGCAATAACCAAGACAAATTATGTCAAGCAAATAGTTTAGAGTAATGATAGGTACATCAGTGAATGCGTGCAAAAACTACCAACAATAAAAACAGATCACTCTATGAGGTAAATTGAAAGTCCTATGGAAATTATTGAAGTCAACAAAGAGCAAGGGGTGAATAATTATTATCTAGGAAGCAAAATTCTCAAGCTGGCACCTGATACTCCAAAGGCAGAAGAAGCTACAATAAAGCATCCCAAATAACCACAGGAAGCCAGACACCACTGAACATGCAGTAAAACAAAGCTATAACACACGACTTCAATCAAACATAAAACTTTAAGGGATAGTTTGTGATTTTTTGTCTGTGCAAGTAAACTACATTTCTGCCCTCAAGGATTTTGTCGCTTTTTCAGTGATTGAATCACTCCCAGAGAAAATACTACTTTACACAGCTTCAGTTGTCTTCTTTTTATTTCAATAGTTTTCCTCCAAACTCAAAAACTCTCCCTTAAAATGCAGGATGACTTTCTGTAAATCAATCAATTTGGCAATGAGACAACAGACAATTTGCAGCATGTTTATTGTCTGCCTAAAAGAGAACAAAGGCAGCACCACATCTATTAAGAATCCAAATTCCAACCTTGTGGACCTCTGACGCAGAGTAAACGGAGCTCCACTTTCTGAAGAATCCTCCTTGCCAATGTATTTTTCACCAGAGTAAGTGCTGAAATGTAATTTGTCTATCCAATTAGGTAACCAGTCTAGTGTCAATTGGTTTTGGTCACTGTCCAATTTGTGTTTTTCCATTCTATTTCAGGTAATGTAACTACCTGCCAGTAGTAGTTCAAGATACATAAAACAGCAATGTTTGTACATTATCTTCATGTAAGAAGACACAAGTTACTTAATGCAGTGGACATGATATTTAAACATAAATTTCCATAAATATATTGCTTCCAAAATAGTCACATTAGCTATTGTGCACGATTAAAATCCTTCACAACATTTTCAAAGTATATATATAGATATCTCATTATGTTTGCCTCACATTACCTGTCTGAGTCTCCTCCCTCATCATCTTCATCCTCCTCCTCCTCCTCTTCTTCCTCTTCAACCTCCTCACCCACACCCTCATCAGCATCAGGATCTACAACATCAGCCTCATATCCCTCCTTCATTTGCTCTACCACATCTAAGTAGTCCAACTCTGCCAGGTATTCATCTCCATAGTTGTGACCATCCTGTCATTCACATAGTTAATCTATTATTTCTCAACAAGAATTTACAATTTAAAAGAGAATAGTTTTACAAGAAACTTACTGGTAAGCATAGTTTTATAAAATCACAACAGAAACACCATTTTCTGGAAGACTATGATAAGGACTTACACTTTGCATGCAGCTACCTAGTTAGGAAATCAGACTTTCAAGTATGAGGCATCTAAAATGCACCTTACCTCATTAGCACCTTGTTCTGTGAGGAGTTGTCCTGCATATATGCAGACAAACCCTCCCTCAGGTATGTCATCAAGGCAGCGAAGGCCCCAGCCCCTGGAATGAACAGGTAAAGAATGTGAGACCAGGCATCTAGCTATTTGACGGTCATTTCAACTGCCCCATTTCTTATTAAACAAACATGGACTTCACACTTTAAGGACAAATTTAAGAGCAAATGAATGTTCATTATAAAATAAATTATAAATTGGTTTGTACAATTAAGTCACATAAATGGCATTCTAATCAACTTTAAATAATGGATAAATCAATAACTGTTATTTATTTCTTTTACTAATTAGTTTTGTTGTACCTTTTCTCAGTCTTGAAAACCTGAAGTCTGAGCTGCTGACCATTCTGTGCAACCCTGTTCACACACCTACAGTCACACTTGCAACGAGAATTGCATTCAAAGATTCTGAAAATAACCAAAAATTTCATTAAACAAATATCTTTTCTAAAGTACCACCCATACATACACAAAAAAGAGAAGCATGTTATTTTCAACGAGTGTCATTCATCAATAATCCACTTGTCTTTAAGGTGGGCGTCTTTAAATCTATACAAAATTCTGAATGAGCCTTTGTTCACATTTACAATATAACTTGAACACATTTGCATATGCTTATGCATTTCATCTACTCACCCTGTACGTAAGGAGTCTACCAGTCTTCTGTGTTGGTATCCAGGAATACCATCAACCATCTGGTTTGGAATAGCTTCAGCCGCCTGAATGGTTAACTGACGACAGCTGCACTTTGTGTGGTCCTAGAAAAATACCAATAGATCAAATCTTACAATATAATTCACCAATTCAACATGGCTAAAATATCATTTATTTCTTTTCCAATAAATGCAGCTGGAAATACATATTTTGTCTCCTTCATCCTTCCACACTAAAGTGTGAGAGGTTTTGCATGTTTTGTTGTATGGGTTGTACGCATTATCTTAAACTGTGTAAAAAAACGAAAATGAACAAACAACAAAGCTTTCAAATGCAACTTGCATGGAAGTTGTTAAAAATTGCTCAATTTTAGTTGACTTTGCATAGACATACCCTGCAGCCATCAGTGCAGTCACACCCTGATAAGAAGTCTGGATCCAGATTCAGTTTGACACCCCTGGCAGGGAGTCTTTGGTTAGAGTACTCCACATACTCAGGGTACTGGCGGTCAATGCCATTTACACAGGAAATGGGAACAGTCTCTTTGCCATAGGACAAGTCTTTGATATCACAGAATGTCTGGAAAAAATTTACAAAATAATGCCAAATGACATCTAGCAATTAAAAAGAATATTATATTTTGAAAACATGATAATCAACAGAAGTCAAGCTGAAGGAGGTTAAAAATTTTCCATACATTTTTCAACACATCTATCCCATCCAGTATAAATGTAACAACACCAATAGCAATAAAAATAGAAATCAGGAAAGTATTCAAATATCTATAAGTATTGTTTTTACCTTTAATGGCACAAATTCACTGTGAGTGTGTAGAAACTGGCTAAAGCAAAAAAGATCAATGGTCAGCCTGCAATCTGTAACAACCAAGTAGCGGTCAGTTTCATCTAAAGTCCTTAGTCTTCGTGCACATGGTGCCCTGTAGAAGACCACCCTTTTACCACTTCCTTTCATCTTTGCTAATTGCCTAAAAAAGAAAAAAAGTTTATCCTACATAATCCTATACAATGTCATAACTACCCTCTCTTTATCTGACATTTCATGATAACCCGTTTATCCTTCTCTATGCATTATGACTACTTTGGAGTTTATAAAATTAGCTCACCTCTCCCAGCCACACAACATTGGAATCAGAAGTGGATTATTTCCCCTGTACTTTGATGGGTCTTCATTAGCATCCTTAAGACAATCAGGACTACAGGTATGTGGTTCTGCAACACAAAATTATATCAATGATTGGATTTATCTTGAAAGACCACTATTTTGTCTGTAAAGATACTTTGAATTTCTGACATTTTTTTTTCAACTGTTTACTCACTGAATTTCCTTCTAACTGTGTTTCTCTCAGGTAGAGGGTCTATATCAATCCTTTCACCTAGAGCCTCTTCATCTGCAGAAAAAAATATTCAATTTTAAAATGAAATTCTTCAGCCAATACCCATTTCTAATGAAAGTTATAATTCCTTAACCCACTTTTGTATTTCTAAGAAAATGAATGTGCTTAAAATTCTGACTGCTAAATCTTAGTGAACAGGTAACAGTGTATTATTTACTTACCTACTTGGTTGAACCTATCGTGCAATACAGATGCCATATCTTTGCCTATAGTTCTATTACTGATACTGCTGGCCAAATATTCTGAAAAAAAATAATTTGCTGTATTTAATCACTTAATCATGGAGATTATGTATAGTTGTCAATTTATCATGAAAAGTGGCAAATATAAAGAGTTATGAATCTCTCTACAAAAAATAAACAGATAAATAAGCTTATAAATACATTTCCAACCATATGAAACATTTGGTTCAATTTTTAAAAAATCATTTTATCAATTAATCACAAGGGACTTTGTAAAAATCTATAACTCTCTTAAGGAGATTGGATAACCTACAAATTTATGAATCTGTTAACAAGATAGAAAGAAAGAAACAAAATTTCAACGATAAGAAATTTATTTGTAAATCTACTTACCATTTTTCTTTTGAAATGCAGTTCCTGGCTTTTTCCCTTTCACTGCAGTGCTCTTCTTAGCAACAGCACGTTTTGGACTTGTGGAACTATTTGATGATGGTCTACTTTGTGCAGATTCTGTAATGTTATGAGAACTACGTATTTTATGTAACTTATAGTTTCTTAAAAGTTTAATAAAACATGAACCTTATCCCTTTTCTGAAAAGAACACTGCATAAAATTTCATAAATTTATCTTCTTTCCTCACATTTTTTTTTTTTTTTTGCTCAGTAACTTCAACACCTTCTCACAAATCATGATTGAAAGAACATCTAAGACTCACGTAGCCTCTTGAACAGATCTTCTTCTGCTCCTCGTGTGTATTCTACCACAGGTTTCTTAGCACCTTTCATGATTGTGTTGACCTTTGCATTCAGTCTCTGCTTCTTGGCACTCCCTAATCTCTTAGAAGCCTCAGCATTGGCCTGTCAAGAAAAAAAAAATATCTTCAAGATTAAGCCTTTCATAGATATCACCAAATAATTCTGACAAGTATAAATAAAGTGTTTTTCTGAAACTTTTTATCAGCTGTCCACTTACATTGAACAATGTAACAATATGATTCTTATTTTTTTGAGTGGTTCACAATTTATCAAAATAACATTTGGATAGAAACTTCACTATTCATTAAGTAAGAATTGGCGTACTCNTTACACACCTACAGTCACACTTGCAACGAGAATTGCATTCAAAGATTCTGAAAATAACCAAAAATCTTTTCTAAAGTACCACCCATACATACATAAAAAAGAGAAGCATGTTATCTTCAAAGAGTGTCAGTTATCAATAATCAACTTGTGGATGGGCATCTTTAAAACTATACAAAATTCTGAATGAGCCTTTGTTCACATTTACAATATAACTTGAACATATTTGCATATGCTAATGTACTTCATCTACTCACCCTGTACGTAAGGAGTCTACCAGTCTTCTGTGTTGGTATCCAGGAATACCATCAACCATCTGGTTTGGAATAGCTTCAGCCGCCTGAATGGTTAACTGACGACAGCTGCACTTTGTGTGGTCCTAGAAAAATACCAATAGATCAAATCTTACAATATAATTCGCCGATTCAACATGGCTAAAATTTATTTCTTTTTCAATAAATGCAGCTGGAAATAAACAATATATAATTTGTCTCCTCCATCCTTCCACACTAAAGTGTGAGAGGTTTTGCATTTTATAAAGTGTTGTTTTGTTGTATGGGTTGTATGCATTATCTTAAACTGTGTAAAAAAAAATAGACAAAAAACAATGCTTTCAAATGTAACTTGCATGGAAGTTGTTAAAAATTGCTCAATTTTAGTTGACTTTGCATAGACATACCCTGCAGCCATCAGTGCAGTCACACCCTGATAAGAAGTCTGGATCCAGATTCAGCTTGACACCTCTGGCAGGGAGTCTTTGGTTAGAGTACTCCACATACTCAGGGTACTGGCGGTCAATGCCATTTACACAGGAGATGGGAACAGTCTCTTTGCCATAGGACAAGTCTTTGATATCACAGAATGTCTGGAAAAATTTTACAAAAATAATGCCAAATGACATCTAACAATTAAAAAGAATATCATATTTTGAAAACATAAGTCAAACTGGAAGTGTTAACAATTTTCCGTACATTTTTCAACACATATATCCCATCCACTATAAATGTAACAACACCAATAGCAATAAAAATAGATATCAGGAAAGTATTCAAATATCTATAAGTATTGTTTTTACCTTTAATGGCACAAATTCACTGTGAGTGTGTAGAAACTGGCTAAAGCAAAAAAGATCAATGGTCAGCCTGCAATCTGTAACAACCAAGTAGCGGTCAGTTTCATCTAAGGTCCTAAGTCTTCTAGCACATGGTGCCCTGTAGAAGACCACCCTTTTACCACTTCCTTTCATCTTTGCTAATTGCCTAAAAAAGATAAAAAAAGTTTATCCTACATAACCCTATACAATGTCATAACTACCCTCTCTTCATCTGACATTTCATGATAACCTGTTTATCCTTCTCTATGCATTATGACTACTTTGGAGTTTATAAAATTTGCTCACCTCTCCCAGCCACATAACATTGGAATCAGAAGTGGATTATTTCCCCTGTACTTTGATGGATCTTCATTAGCATCCTTAAGACAATCAGGACTACAGGTATGTGGTTCTGCAACACAAAATTATATTTATGATTGGATTTATATAAGATACTTTTGATTTCTGACATCATTTTTTTTCAACTATTTACTCACTGAATTTCCTTCTGACTGTGTTTCTCTCAGGTAGAGGGTCTATATCAATCCTTTCACCTAGAGCCTCTTCATCTGCAAAAAATATATTCAATTTTAAAAAGAAATTCTCCAGCCAATACCCATTTCTGATGAAAGATATAATTCCTTAACCCACTTTTGTATTTCTAATAAAATGAATGTGCTTAAAATTCTGACTGCTCAATCTTAATAAGTGAAAAGGTAACAGCGTATTATTTACTTACCTACTTGGTTGAACCTATCGTGCAATACAGATGCCATGTCTTTGCCTATAGTTCTATTGCTAATACTGCTGGCCAAATATTCTGGAAAAAATCATTTGCTGTATTTAATCACTTAATCAAGGGGATTATATATATTTATCAATTTATCATATGACAAGTGGCAAATATAAAGAGTTATGAATCTCTCTACAAAAAATTAACAAATAAATAAACTTATAAATACATTTCCAACCATAAGAAACATTTGGTTCAATTTTGAAAAAATCATTTTATCAATTAATTACAAGGGACTTTGCAAAGTTCTATAACTCTCTTAAGGAAATTGGATAACCTACAAATTTATGAATCTGTTAACAAGATAGAAAGAAAGAAACAACATTTCAACAATAAGAAATTTATCTGTAAATCTACTTACCATTTTTCTTTTGAAATGCAGTTCCTGGCTTTTTCCCTTTCACTGCAGTGCTCTTCTTAGCAACAGCACGTTTTGGACTTGTGGAACTATTTGATGATGGTCTACTTTGTGCAGATTCTGTAATGTTATGAGAACTACGTATTTTATGTAACTTATAGTTTCTTAAAAGTTTAATAAAACATGAACCTTATCCCTTTTCTGAAAAGAACACTGCATAAAATTTCATAAATTTATCTTCTTTCCTCACATTTTTTTTTTTGCTCAGTAACTTCAACACCTTCTCACTAATCATGATTGAAAGAACATCTAAGACTTACGTAGCCTCTTGAACAGATCTTCTTCTGCTCCTCGTGTGTATTCTACCACAGGTTTCTTAGCACCTTTCATGATTGTGTTGACCTTTGCATTCAGTCTCTGCTTCTTGGCACTCCCTAATCTCTTAGAAGCCTCAGCATTGGCCTGTCAAGAAAAAAAAATATCTTCAAGATTAAGCCTTACATAGATATCACCAAATAATTCTGACAAGTATAAATAAAGTGTTTTTCTGAAACTTTTTATCAGCTGTCCACTTACATTGAACAATGTAACAATATGGTGCTTATTTTTTTGAGTGGTTCACAATTTATCAAAATAACATTTGGATAGAAACTTCACTATTCATTAAGTAAGAATTGGCGTACTCAAATAAAAGCCAACACTTACCAATGCAGTGAATAAAGGTTCCAGACGCGTAGAGCCTCGATAAATCCACTCTGATCTTTTATCAGCCTCAAAGTACATGTGAACCAGACTGGCATCCACAGCCACCACCTTGGCCTTCCACCTAGAAGAGGAACCCTTACATATATTTCAAGACTTTTAATACATTTAAGATGACAGCATTTATTTCATAACATTTACTGATGTTGAAGAAATACTGTGGATATATCTCATGTTATAACATGTACAGCAAGCTTTTAAGATTTTTTTGTTCACACTTCTGTTTTATTTTATTTTTTTTGCAAGAAAATAGAAAAGATCTCTCAAACAAATATCAATATTTTTGAAATATATAATAAAACAAGACAATGTATAAATATATAAATTCATACTGTTTTATCTTACTTACCACTTTCCATTCCATTCTGTTTGCACATGTTGCCCTTTTGCCAATCTGACCATAGGTCTCTAAAGAAGAATAAGAAAATTTGTAAAGATGTGAATATCACTTAATATTTATAGATTTGCTTCTACAAAGGTTTTATAACCTATAATCTTTCTTTTTACTTTTCCTTTCAAAGCAAGCTCACATGAACAATCTTCATCCTAATTGGATAGATATGATTTTGATATGCTACAAAGATAAAGAATTAGTAACATTATAGAATATCCCATACCTCAGGGTATGCCATGAGATAATCCTTGATGAATTCCTGAGAATCTGGATGAATATCCTCCCAGACATTCTTACCTGGAAGGAAAATTTTATCTCACCATCAGAAATATGGCTAGGTTTCTTCAAAGTGGAAGGGAATTAAGGATGCATTTTTATGATATCTTCAGATATGTTTTTAAAGAAAGTAACTTACTTTGTTCATAAACTTTGTGTACATCCTTCGGCTGTGAATACTGAGCATAACCATCATCAAAGAAGACAAGAAACCTATAAAATTAAAGAAAATGTTTTGCAAAAAATAATTAGAGCAGTGATAATGATATAATTTGACCAAATTTCTCCTTGTGTCATGTACAAATTATGTCACATTTAACATAACTTAAGACTTTGCATCACTTGTCACCTTATAACTCAAATTACTGTTTATCCTTTTTGTCTTTGGTATTAACTGAGACTTCTGAATATTACCTAAATCCTATCTTTGCTAAACTCTAACAAATTTCCTAGTCCCCAACTGTCCAAATTATTAAAAGTCTGCTACCCATCACATAGATTACAATCACAAACCTTGGTTTGGAGATTTATAGACCCACCTGTTATTGTTCCTGACATTTGGGGGCTCTGCTACTATGCCTGCATAGAAAGAGGTAGACGGAGTGGCTTCTTCATCTTTGTAAAGTGCTGGAATGTGACAACAAAATAGAAATTACATGTCGGGTATTACAGCAGTCTGTGACATTAACATTTGCACCACATCAAATGCCAGCAAAATTGAATCCTAAAGACTTGGGGGGGGGGGGTATATTATTGCTTTGAGTCAGTGAATTCATGATGTCTCAAAGAACCCGTAGACTAAAAGCAGAGTATTCAAATTTTCATCTCACTTTTTTAAATGAAAAGCAATTTTTGCATAATAAATGTAGCTTAAAACCTCCAGTCACATATTACTTTTATTATTATTTTCCTTAGTTATCTGTCAGTCTAAGCTGTGAGATTACCACTTACCCACCACACGGGTTCCCACTGGCAGAGTTCCTGTGCAAGGATCAAAATATGCTATATGCTTTCCTGAGAGCACCTTCATCCCCTTGGAGTCAAACTTTACTCTGTATCTATGCTGCATTGATTGACATGAAATAAAGAATGAATTAAAGTATGAAACATAAAATATTATATTTATCGCTTTGATAACAATTTACAGAACAACTTAATACTTAAGATAATCAC